GAGAATGATAAACACGCCTATTACAGTACATCACCAAACACCATCTTTTGCCCATAAATGTACCTTTCTAGGTGTACCTCTGTCATCCTACAATTTAAGGATAGTACATCTATCTAAAAACCAAAGAGCAAATAAAATCAAATACAGTATAACCTCCATACCTAAAGTGGGTTACCAGGAGTGGTCCTCCTACTCCCCTAGAGGCCAGATGTGACAAAAAAAATGGATTTTCTTAAGAACCATGCACTTAAGGAAAAAGCCTATGTTCAAATATTTTTTCAATAGTTTTTAAAATATTTTTGGTGTATACTGTATTCAAATAGTTCCTTGTATTTTTGGGGTTTTCGCTGTGCATTAAGGAGCACATAGTTTTGTTACATAATCCACTCTGTAGGTCATCTTCATTATTTGTACCAATTAAAAGTTCTAAATCTGTACTCTACAGCGCAGGAGAGATACATAATAATATACATGCAGAAGATATTAGAGGGGCTGGTTCCAAATCTGAACATGATGATTACATCACATGAAACCAGTAGGCATGGCAGAATGTGCAAAATATCCCCATTGAAAAGCAGAGGTGCAATCTGTACTCTGATAACTATAAACATCAAGGGCCCAAGACTTTTCAACACTTCTGCTACACACAAGGGGCATAACTGGCCAACCTCTCACATTATTCAAGAAAGAACTCGACAAACACCTCCAAAGAATACCTGATCAACCAGGCTGTGATTCATACATCAGGCTGGGAGCAGCTGTGTCCAACAGCCTGGTCGACCAGACGACCAACCGGGAGGCCTAGTCGGAGACTCTACCGAGGCGCCGTTGATTCCTGGAAGCTACACTAGGTAGATAACAGAAGACTGGACATTGGCGGGGTATTAAACATCAAGCAAAACAAACCATGTATCAATAGCCAACTATCACCATATTACACTCTGCCAACTTCCAGAACACAGTGGATCATACAACATACTGCTCCAGCCATCATGCAAAAAGGAGATTGACAAGATACAATGGACCTGTAAGTGAGGTGCCTTACCTTCACTTCATCCTTAGGTACATATGTAGCAAGAAACTTCGTAATCATTACATTTAACATTATATGACATCCATGGGCTCACCATAGCCCGTGCTGCATGGGCATTTCGTTCTGAGAAGGTAAATCTAAAAACAACAACAACTTCGTAATCATTCGAACTCTGCCTTTGACAAATTTAACAAGAGTTAACAAAATGCATCTCTTAGCTTCAGACCAAATAAAAGTGTAAAAATGAACTTTTAGAAAGTTGAAAAATTAACTTCCTTTTCAAGTGAAGAGAAATAAGGAAAATGAGAGAAGATTCACACTAGAATAATTAATCTCACCCTTTTGGTCATATTCAATAATAATACATACAAACATATACATGCAAATACTGCACCATACATACATTGACCAAAGAGCCAATGCTCAATCCCCACAAGCACAACTAGGCTAGTACAAGTGAGGGCAGTAATCAGAGGCAATGTATCGGACTAGAGAAATGTCAAGTGGAGAACCACAGGGTTCAGTGGTACAGTGGCAAATGGAGCTTAATATGAATAAATGCCATGTTATGGAATGTGGAATAGAAGAACATAGATCCCACACAACATATAAATTATGTGAGAAATCATTAAAGACATCTGATAAAGAAAGATCTAGGGATGGTTCAAGACATCACCCGAGGACCACACAAAGAACACCGTGCAGAGCCAATGCTACACTTTCAAACTTTGGAAATTGCTTTTAAATACATGGATGGCAAAATACTAAAGAAATTGATCAGGACTTTTGTTAGATCAAAGCTGGAATATGCAGCAGTTGTATGGTGCCCATATCTTCAGCACATCAACAAACTGGAAAGAGCACAAAGACATGCCACAAAGTGGCTACCAGAACTGAAAGACAAGAGCTACGAGGAAAGGCTAAAGGCATTAAATATGCCAACACTAAAAGATAGAAGGAAAAAGAGGCGATATGATCACTACGTATATAGTAGTAACGGGAATTGATAAAATTGATAGCGAAGAATTCCCGAGACCTGGAACTTCAAGAACAAGAGATCATAGACAAACTAAACAAAGCTTCCCATGAAATAAGAAAATTCACTTTCGCAAACAGAGTGGCAGACAGTTGGAACACATTAGGCGATGTGGGTGGTGGTCAAAACTGTCAGTAATTTCAAAACATTATATGACAGTGCTGGGAAGACAGGACATCACGAGCGTAGCTCTCATCCTGTAACTACACTTAAGTAATTACACATATACATAATACACATTCGCCAATGTATGCTAGATAGGCCAACATAAAAACTGCTTTTAGAACCTTGTTTAAGGAATTGTTCAGGACCTTGTATACCACTTATGTCAGACCAATCCTGGAGTATGTAGCTCCAGCCTGGAGTCCATACCTAGTAAAACACAAGGCAAAGTTAGAGAAGATTCAGAGGTATGTCACCAAACTAGTCCCAAAACTGAGAGGTATGAGCTACGAGGAAAGGCCATGTCCCTGGAAGACAGAAGAGTAAAGGGAAACACGATCACCATCTACAAAATTCTCAGGGGAACTGACAGGGTGGGCAAAGAAACTGTTTAGCATGGGTGGAACACGAACAGGGGGACACAGTTGGAAACTTAGTACCCAAATGAGCCACAGAGACATTGGAAAGAATTTTTTCAGTGTCAGTAGGTAACAAATGGAATATATTGGGCAGTGATTTGGTGGAGGCCAACTCCATATACAGTTTCAAATGTAGATTTTATACAACCCAAATAGTCTCCAGAATCTGTACACCAGTTGATTGACATGAAGCTGGACCAAAGAGCCAAAGCTCAACCACCACAAGGACAACTAGGCGAGTACATATACATACATACATAAAAACATACATTTTTTTACTGTTTCAGTAAATATTTTAGACTTTTGAACTAAAATTCAAAAGTAATAATTAAAAGGCACCAAGCCAGAAAGGCCATAGTATTTTATCATACCATTATTCACATTTTTCAAACAAAATAAAAAAATACTGTACAATAATTTACTGATACAATATAAAAATCAACCTAAGCCACTCAAAAATACTTGAGTGAATACAACAACTGAATGGATGGGATTGGATGGTGCTAAATGCTTTGTTCGTCAGCAACTTTCTTTTCATTACTTTCAAGGCAAATGCACAATACTGGGTCAGTAGTACTAAGGCAAGGATTTGTTAAGTTAAAAAGATATATATATAAGTGTTAAATGGTCAAAATGCAAGGTGCACTTTAATTCAGACTTTAATTTACAAATAAAAGAAGTGAAATTTGGAATATATAATAATTCAAATTCAATTCAATATATGGAATATATTGATTGGAGAATTTCCTGAATAATAAACTTTTATCCTCCAAATACTGAGGATAGGGTGGCTAAATACATATTGGACAGGGCCTATATAGGCTAATTGAATACTGGATTCAAAGCTAACAGTTTACTACTCAAAAAATTTAGGTTTTCTTATACTATATCAAAACAGTGCCATAACATAAGCCTATATCTAACGTAGCCACAATCCTTTGGTCAGGTAACGATTCGTTATTCAGACGATTCTTCAATCCTGAATAAAACATTACAATTTCTTCAATAATTTACTTCTCACTATCCTGTAGAAGATGACTATTATATTTCGTGTATGCACCAGTACGACAAGGGTTAGAGTTCAAAACAGCAAAAGGAAAGTCGGGTTAACACAATCGTTGCCTGCTGAGGGACCCATATTGGATGTATCTTATAAAGCAATGCAATATTTCAGGACCACTGTTCTGTGAGATTTTTACTTTATTGAACGACAATAGTAAATTTTTATTATAGCTGCTAACTAAACCTTAGGCATTGTAAAATACTCAGGAGCAATATCTAATACCTAGTATGATATTGCATAACACAAGCTTGAATTGGATCCTGCAAAAGTCATAGTGTAATACATCTGTTTTCCTAGTGTCTGCTTCTGTAACCTTATGGTGACCACGCATCCCACGCATCAGAAAATGGAGAAGTGACAACATTTTCGTCCATCCAAGACCATTATCAAGTCGTGATAATGGTCCAGGACGGACGAAAATGTCTTCGCTCCTCCATCTTCTCGTGTATGGTTTGGTCCTCGTTTCTTCAGCGACGTAATTGTGACAACATTTGCAACCTATTGGGTTATGCCCCAGCCCATCATGCAGAGCATCGTCAAACTGTACTTGCACCCCCCCCCCCCCTGTGTCCCAGTTACTCTCTCCCGATTCAAAGCTTGAATGGTATACTGCCTCTCTTATTTCTTATTTCACAAGGCGGACAACGAGGGCAGTCACCCAACCAGCTACCGGCACAATAACTGTATCCCCGAGCGAAGTTATTACCCACTAACGAATACATTACGTTGTCACCATAACAAGTTTTGAAACATTGTGGCTGTCTGCAGTTCAATACCAAACATTTTTATGTAGAAGGGTTATTAAACAAGGTGGGAAACACTGCAAGTGTCAAATTCAGAAAGCAAGCAAAGGTGCAGTGTGACCTTTTGTAACACGCCCCATAAGTAACTACAAAAACGCGCACATTTGCTACAACTACCTCAGATAACAGCCTTCAACTACCACAACTCCCTCATCCAATACAGCGTGTGTAAATAGTGTATTGTTAAGTGACAGGAATGTGAGGAACAAGCCATCTGTGAGGACCACCTCCACTTTACACCAGTCTTCCCCCTAGACACCACAACTCCCCACACAACACCTCCATACTCGACTAAATATCAACTCCTCCCCTCTGCCCCTCAGTGCTGTACATATGGCATGGTGTGTGTGGTATTAAGCGCCACAGTAGTGTAGCTGGAGTAAGTGCAGCAAGCAGTCTCCTCAACACGGACCTTGGCTCTTCACTAACAACCAATGCACTACACCACAACACATTTCTCCACATTAATTGCTAAAAAGGATACAGTTTGATGACATCGGTATCCATGCGACGCTTTCCTGCACTAGGTGATGACATTGTGGTGGGTTGAGAAGGGCCACTAAGCCCTAAATCCAAGCCAAACAGCGAGCTTCACCTAGTACGACTCAACACAACACACAATGGCGACCTTCTGAGACCTCATGACGTCACACCTCACTAAAAAAAACTTCTTCCTCAGACAAAGACAACATCTTATAACAGCAACATGTCTCCACTTGTTTTCAATCTAACGTATGACCGGTATTTATCTGCGTATTTATAAGGGGAATTTTATGACAAATAGCATTGGGAAATAATAAGGGCTGTACATTTTCTGTTGTTCTTAAATACATCGATCAGTTGTCGTACGTCGCCTTCTCCTAAGCTCCGCCCATTCAACATATCGTACCGGATACTTAACTTCATTAATATCTTAATTTAATCTTATAAACAGTGTACATCACGTAGCTCATATATGTTACAATTTAAAAGTTTATTCAGGCAAGATCAAATTTGTTGTGACTAGTATAGTAATGGTATGGCAGTGGGTCTACCTGAAGCCCCGCCCCCTACTAGTCACGTGACCAGGATCAGCTGGGCAGTGTAAACAAATCTGGCGTGGTCTTGTTATGGCCCGTTTTCTATGTCACAATCATCAGGAAATTATGATATATAATGTAATTTAGTTTGACCAACAAGGAAACAAGCAGATCCATAACAAGCAGTATGTTTACCTGTGCTCAGCCTTCCCTTAAAGCGTTTTGCTGGGAAATTGTGTTTCAAATTTCCTTAACAGAGGTTCGTAGCCTATTATTCAATTTCTGTAGTACAGGTAATCCTTTTGTATAAATAAAATATACTAATAATTAGTATTATTATTATATTGTAAATATTAAGGGTCAAGGACGGACCAAAAGGTCGTCGCTTTCGTTTTATTTCGTGTGATTTGGGTTATAAATGTTCATTATTATTTTATTATTATTATTATTATTATTATTTTATTTGACTTAAAGAGCTCCTAGTTAGAAAAGTTGCATGCAACTTGGTGATTGCTGAATGGTTAAGATACGGTTATTACGTAGAGGAGAAAGTACCATTATGGTCATATAATGTACTACCGGTAGTACAGTACTAATGTACAGTACGGATCTCCCGGTAGCACAGTCGGGTTCGTTCTCGACGCACAATCGACAATTCCGGGTTCGAATCCCCTGGGGAGGCAGAAATGGTTGGGCACATTTCCTTTCACCTAATGCCTCTGTTCGCCTAGTAGTGAGTAAGGTACTCAGGAGTTAGTCAGCTTGTTGTGGGGTTGCATCCTGGGCGGGGTCAATAATTCGACCTTGGGGCGTGGGAGAACCTCGATAAAAGCCGAACGTGTATGAATACACGCTGGCTTCCTGTCCCCCGGACACAATGAATTAAAATTAAATAATACTTGGGAGGGATCTGAGGACTGGAATATGTCCCAATATGTGATATGGCGTGCTTCTGTATCCCATCTCCTCCATCCCACGAGATGGGTATGGGGGTGCCTCTGTATCCCATCCCCCCATCCCACGAGATGGGTATGGGGGTGCCTCTGTATCCCATCCCCCCATCCCACGAGATGGGTATGGGGGGTGCCTCTGTATCCCATCCCCCCATCCCACGAGATGGGTATGGGGGTGCCTCTGTATCCCATCCCACGTGATGGGTATGGGGTGCCTCTGTATCCCATCCCACGTGATGGGTATGGGGTGCCTCTGTATCCCATCCCACGTGATGGGTATGGGGTGCCTCTGTATCCCATCCCACGAGATTGGTATAGGTTGCCCCTGTATCCCATCCCCCCATCCCACGAGATGGGTATGGGGTGCCTCTGTATCTCTTCCACGGAATGGGTACAATAGGCTGAATAATAAGTAAATTAATCTACAAACATTACAGCTATTTATTATAGTTAACAATCACTCGATAATCACACCTGCACAACGAACATAAAACAGGAGAGACAAGGAAAGTAAACATAGCCTATAATCAGGAAAATAACACGAAAAAAAAGTAATATGGGCGTTGAGTTCATGATTTTGGCGAAGGTGAGTGAGGCAGGAGTGAGTGATGAATGAGTGAGGCAGGAGTAGATGAGCAAGCAAGGATGAGTAAGCAACAGCCCACACGGGAACCACCCTGCCCATAAGAGAGGGACAAGCCTGACGCAGACTAGGCTGCGTGAGTTGAAATTTGTTGCGTATTGACTCTCTGCGCTCTTAAGAGACCTATTTCAGGGGAATGAAGGTCAGTGTATATGTAGGTGATGGTAGGTAGGGAAATAAGTGATGGTAGGCGGTGAAATAGGTGTTTGTAAGTAGTGAAATAGGTGTTGGTAAGTGATGATATAAGAGTTTGTAGAGAGTGAAATACGTGTTGGCAGGTGGTGTGGAAGGTGGTGAGGTAGGTGGTGAGGCAGGTGGTGTGGTAGGTGGTGAGGCAGGTGGTGAGGTAGGTGGTGAGGTAGGTGGTGTGGAAGGTGGTGAGGTAGGTGGTGAGGCAGGTGGTGAGGTAGGTGGTGAGGTAGGTGGTGAGGCAGGTGGTGAGGTAGGTGGTGAGGTAGGTGGTGAGGCAGGTGGTGAGGTAGGTGGTGAGGCAGGTGGTGAGGTAGGTGGTGAGGTAGGTGGTGAGGTAGGTGGTGAGGCAGGTGGTGAGGCAGGTGGTGAGGCAGGTGGTGAGGCAGGTGGTGAGGTAGGTGGTGAGGCAGGTGGTGAGGTAGGTGGTGAGGCAGGTGGTGAGGTAGGTGGTGAGGCAGGTGGTGAGGTAGGTGGTGAGGCAGGTGGTGAGGCAGGTGGTGTGGAAGGTGGTGAGGCAGGTGGTGAGGCAGGTGGTGAGGCAGGTGGTGAGGCAGGTGGTGAGGTAGGTGGTGAGGTAGGTGGTGAGGCAGGTGGTGAGGCAGGTGGTGAGGCAGGTGGTGAGGCAGGTGGTGAGGTAGGTGGTGAGGCAGGTGGTGAGGCAGGTGGTGAGGCAGGTGGTGTGGAAGGTGGTGAGGCAGGTGGTGAGGCAGGTGGTGAGGCAGGTGGTGAGGCAGGTGGTGAGGCAGGTGGTGAGGTAGGTGGTGAGGCAGGTGGTGAGGTAGGTGGTGAGGCAGGTGGTGAGGTAGGTGGTGAGGTAGGTGGTGAGGCAGGTGGTGAGGTAGGTGGTGAGGTAGGTGGTGAGGTAGGTGGTGAGGCAGGTGGTGAGGCAGGTGGTGAGGCAGGTGGTGAGGCAGGTGGTGAGGCAGGTGGTGAGGTAGGTGGTGAGGCAGGTGGTGAGGTAGGTGGTGAGGCAGGTGGTGAGGCAGGTGGTGTGAAAGGTGGTGAGGCAGGTGGTGAGGTTGGTGGTGAGGCAGGTGGTGAGGTAGGTGGTGAGGTAGGTGGTGAGGTAGGTGGTGAGGCAGGTGGTGAGGTAGGTGGTGAGGCAGGTGGTGAGGCAGGTGGTGTGGAAGGTGGTGAGGCAGGTGGTGAGGTAGGTGGTGAGGCAGGTGGTGAGGTAGGTGGTGAGGCAGGTGGTGAGGCAGGTGGTGAGGCAGGTGGTGAGGCAGGTGGTGAGGTAGGTGGTGAGGCAGGTGGTGAGGCAGGTGGTGAGGCAGGTGGCGAGGCAGGTGGTGAGGTAGGTGGTGAGGCAGGTGGGTGTCGGGGCCGCCAGCGATGACCTACAAGGAAGACTGCAGGAGGGGGCGGAGGTTAAGACTTAACTCCAGCCAGGAGAGGGGGAGGAATTTGGAGTTATGCTCATAGACTTACCCACTGTTGTAAATGGGTTCCTCGAGGGCCAAACGATGGGGAGTTGTTGTTGTTATAGATTCAGCTACTCGGAATAAGTTCCAAGTAGCACGGGCTATGGTGAGCCCGTAACTTACCTGGCACAGGAGCGGGGCAAGTAGCACGGGCTATGGTGAGCCCGTAGCTTACCTGGCATAGGGGAGGGGCAAGTAGCACGGGCTATGGTGAACCCGTAACTTACCTGGCACAGGAGCGGGGCAAGTAGCACGGGCTATGGTGAGCCCGTAACTTACCTGGCATAGGGGAGGGGCAAGTAGCACGGGCTATGGTGAGCCCGTAACTTACCTGGCATAGGGGAGGGGCAACCCTGGAAACACAAACCGTAACTGATCCTATTTTCCGCTTGTTACAACTTGTAATAAAGTTGTTACATCTTGGCTTAACGTGTTTTTGACGTATTAGAAAGTTGTTACAACGTGTTATATTGGTTCTTATAACTTGTTAGGAGGTGTTAAATCCTGTTCGAACGTTGTAGCAACGTCGTAGTTTCGATGTGTGTTTGGCGGGAAGTAGCACGGGCTATGGTGAGCCCGTAGTGGACTTACCTGGCACAGGCAGCGATGGACAGGTGGCGGGGGTTAATATATGGTCGAGGAATGAGGTGAGGAATTACGGGCTATTCATGCCCGTGCCACCTTTTGGGTGGCTTAATCTTCATCAATCGAGGTGAGGAAGAGGAGGTATGCTTAGTGTTTTGGGACAATCTTGAGGTTATCATGAGATGATTTCGGGGCTTAGCGTCCCCGCGGCCCGGTCCTCGACCAGGCCTTCTTTTTGTTGCACACCCCCGAGGAAGAAGCCCGTAGCAGCTTCTAACTCCCAGGTACCTATTTACTGCTAGGTAATAGGTTCATCAGGGTGAAAGAAACATTTTGCCCATTTGTCTCCGCCTCCACCGGGGATCGAACCCGGAACCTCAGGACTATGAATCCGAAGCGCTGTCCACCCAGCTGTCAGGCGCAGTGAGGTGAGTGCTTGCCTAATAGTGCTTGCCTAACAATGATTATGGGGAAGTGAGATCTACCTACTTACGTAAGTAGGTACTGCCCACGCAAGTAGGTAGTAACTAGGCAGTGACTCCCTGATCATGAGCATGTCTTCAAAACTGGTGCCTTGTCGACAATTTTTTTGTTTGTAACTAAAGAGACAGGTGTAGTTGTTTCATATATTTTTCATATAGCTTCGTTTGTTTTCCTTCTACGCATAAAATGTAAGATAAATACCAGACGTTTTTATTATGTTTTAATTTTAAATACAGTAAATTTAGATTTATGAACTTACTGTAAAACGTGTTTTTATTATCTTTTGATTTTAGATACAAAATAACAGTTATCTACTTCACTTAAAGCTGCATCTTTCATGTGTTTTGATTTTAA